GCAGAACATGAAAAAAAAAAAAAGACATAGAAACATTTTCATGGTCAGATGCTAGATTCATTCATTTAACTATGTGTTGAGTTCTAAATGTGGACCAAGAGCTTTCCTACATAATGAATACTGTATTCAGGTCTTACAAATTGGATATATCTTTATATCTATCTATGTATCTATATATCTATGTATCTATCTATCTATCTACCGATATAAATATATATGCTTAAATAATATCGAATGTAGTTCTCTGTGAGTTTCATAGGCCCCAGACATTACATTTGAGAATCTGTGCTGTTCCACTTGTTAAACATACACCTGGATCTCTGATGAAGTGTTACCAACACTGTGAGGCTTGGAAGCCAGGGCTCAGTGGAAAGAGGCTGTTTACCAGCTATGCAGAGAAAAGAAATGGTATTAAGCAGGTGGGACAGGGTCTTGCCCCAGGATTGCCATGGACTTTGTTCCCAACTATGAGTATCAACCTGTCTGGGCTACAGTGTGAAAAACAGACAGCCTGTGCTGAACAACTTCTGAAGTCTAACTCTTATACCATATGTGGAGCCTAAGCAGGATTCAGGCTGCTCAGGCCTAGATCACACAGTTATGCTCAAACTAGCAGCAGGAACACCGGGATAACTTCAAAGAGCTGCATCTCATCTGATGCAGCAAGAACAGTTTAGTCAAATTTCTGCAGTCAGTATCTTTTTGAGAGGCACCTAAGGAACATTCTAGACTTGTTCTGGTTTCCAGCCTCTATTCAGCCTGGTTGTGAATGAGTGGAGCCTCTTCTGGGAAGACTCCACAAAAAAACAGTCAGCAGAGGCAATGCAAGACCAATGGGGACAGGAGCTTCCTTAGCCACTGGGCCATGTCTGGGTGGGATGTTATAACTGCCTTCCAAGTTCGGCATAGTGAAGAAAAGTGTGTTTTTTTCTTCCATAAAGTCCCTTTGGGATCCTTGCCAGACACTGGGTCCAGCTGGGTCGCAAGAAGAATCAGGCAGGATTTAACACTATTAGTAATAACTGGCACATGACTGTATGCAGAAGTGAAACTCAGATGACCAATGCGGAGTACCCCTAAAAGATGGGGAAAGAACCTGGAAGGGAGTATCAGAGAGATGCATGCCTATCATTACAGTGAGATCTTATGGCACTCTGCATGCCCCCACCCTATCCCTGGTCATGCTTTCCCAGCTTCCACGCTGTCCTTCTCTCTGAGGTACAAAAGCCACCCACCTGTTTCTTGTATTGGAAATTTTCTCTCTCCTTGGACACTATTCAGGAAACTCCAAGCAGGTCTTCCTTGTAAATGTTTTGAGCTTTCCTTTTACTTCCTCCTAACCAGAGTCATCCCCACATCCACCTCCTTCTCCCAAGTGAAAGAGTGGCACTTCTCATGCTTGGTTTTGTTCTTCTTCCCAGCACTCAGCTAATGGCTTCTTCTTAGAGAGTGAAGTTTAAGATCCTAAGCCAAAATCAAAGCCCACTCAATTGCTGATCTGAACTGTGATGAGGCCAACTGTCTGGTCTCCAAGAATCTTCAGCCAAAGGCTTCTGCTCTTACCACTGTCAGGGGGAAAACAGAAGAGACAGCCTCGATTTTTACTGAGGATTGTTGCTCAACAGGGAGCCAATAAGTCTCTGAATGAGGAATGAATAAAGATGATTTTGTTAAAGATAAATCCTCATTCAGAAAGGCAAAGAGGATGGACATCAGAAGAGGGAGAAAACAAGGAGCAGGATAGGAGCCTACCACAGAGGGCCTCTGAAAGAGTCTATCCTGCAGGGTATCAAAGCAGATGCTGAGGCTCATAGCCAAACTTTGGGCAGAGTACAGAGAATCTTATGAAAGAAGGGGGAGATAGCAAAACCTGGAGGGGACAGGAGCTCCACTAGGAGAGCAACAGAAACAAAAATTCTGAACATAGGGGTGTTTTCTGAGACTGATACTCCAACCAAGGACCATTCGTGGAGATAATCTAGAACCCCTGCACAGATGTAGCCCATGGCAGGTCAGTGTCCAAGTGGGTTCCCTAGTAATGGGAACAGGGACAGTCTCTGACATGAACTGATTGGCCTGCTCTTTGATCACCTCCCCCTCAATTGGGTGCAGCCTTACCAGGCCACTGAGGAAGACAATGCAGCCACTCATGATGAGACCTGATAGAGCAGGATCAGATGGAAGGGGAGGCGGAACTCCCCTATCAGTGGACTGGCAGGGGGATGTGGGTGGAGAAGAGGGAGAGAGGGTGGGATTGGGAGGGGAAGAGAGAGGGAGCTACAGGTGGGATACAAAGTGAATAAACTGTAATTAATAATAAAAAAATAAGACATTTTTATAGTATAAAATGGGGCTCTTATTTCCTAAGACTGAATTCAAGCCCAAGATATCAGAGCAAGTTCCAATTTGAGTTTGACATAATGTCACCTCCTTCAACAAGTAGGAAAAATTAATATATATGCATATATAAAATGACTGTGAGCCAGGTAGTCAGAAATGTGTAGAGATCTAACACTCAGATAAATCAAGAAATGGGTTTCACATAGTTTCACATAGCAAGGAAGTGATTCTGTGGCATGAGATGCTTCAGGAAATTTAGTTTTACAAAATGATTTCTGGAATTCACTCTTCACTGGGCATTGGCATTGCTCTCCTCATGCAGGTTAGCCTGCTGACCAAGGACATAGAGGAAGTGCTTTTCATGTTCAAGGACTTGTGAGTAAAGTCTGTGACCATTCATGGCTCTCTTGGTGGATGCAGCATACAGGGGTGTCTGGAATCTGTTTCAAAGAGTCTCTGCGGTAAAGAGGAGACTTTCCAATTAGCTTCCCAAATTTCAGCCTGGGACAATTTTATCATTTTAATTTCCAAATCTAGAATAAGGGGAATTCTCAGTGATCACTTCAGGGCAAGCAAGTTCAGCAGTTGGCACGCGTCTGCCTTACTGCCCTGGAGTCTGCGACTTTGATCAGCAGGATGGAAGCCTAGCTTGACTATTCTGCCCCAGAGTCCTCAGAACAGGACAAATTAATGTCTTCCAGCCAAGTTAGGGGTCCTAGCCTCCAGCCTAGAAAGCAGTGGCTACATGAAAGAAAATGGGAGAGCCACAGTGTTTCTATTCTGTGATTAAACTCTAGTCACCTATTCCTATAAGGTCTTCCTGTTTTCCCTGGTGGGGATGTAGAGACACCAGCTCAGTGCTGTGCTCCCCCCTAGCCTGGGTTCACCAGGCAGTTGCATGCTCACCCAGGTTTTTGGACTGGAGGTAGTTTTGATCTGACAGGAGGCCAAAGAGAGCACTGAGGGACTCAGACTAATGGTTGTGAGAGAGATATATCCATTTCTTTCTTTCTTTTTCTCCAGGGACACAGCAGCTTAGATAAGTGAGCTTAGAGTACAAGATTCAGGAAGCATTCACTCTTGGGTCTATGTGAGTGGCTCATTTCTATCCTGGCCTTGCTTGGGGCTAAAACATAGGTTTAGGTATAAACGTGTGTGTGTGTGTGTGTGTGTGTGTGTGTGTGTGTGTGTGTGTGCATGTCTGCATGCATGTGTGCATGTGTGTACCTTTGAGAAGCCTTGCAAACTAGAAAATAGTGCTCCCAAAGTCACTGCCATAACATAGGTAGAGCCATATTTCATGATGTTTCAAAACCAATAAGAGAATAGAGTGGGATGGTGTTCTTGAAGTCTTTTCTAAAGACACCCGCAAGGTAGGGACCCCCTCAACAAAGAGTTGATCTTTCTCATGTAAACCTAAATGAACTGCAGGTGTTAGAAACAAAGGTAATCAACGATTCAGTTCCTTCTGGTTTCTTTCCCTAGCTGAACAGTTCAATGCTGGTCGCTCAGTCAACCATGTGACTATACGATGGCTCAGATTCTCAGCCGGGCTTGGTGGCACACACATGTAATGCCAGCACTCTGAGAGGCAGAGGCAGGCAGAGCTCTGTGAGCTCAAGGACAGCCTGGTCTATCAAGCGAGTCGAAGACAGCCAAGGGTACACAGAGAAACCCTGTCTCAAAAAACCAAAAAGAAAAAAAAGAAATGAAGGCTCAGAATCTCATATGAATGCTATTACCAGCCACCTGTGGGGGTCAGGAAAGCTCATGTAGGTAAGTCTTTCAAAGAAATATGATCGGGGAGAGGTGTGGCGACAGTTTCTACATCCTAAGCAAGGGTCCTGTTCCAGGGAGCCAGGCTGGATGACTTGAGGAAAAGTGAGTTGGGAGAAAGGTCAGCTGGCTTCCTTCATGGCAGCATATCTTTTGAAGGAGTCTACTCCAAGCCCAAATAAATGGTCCACAGGATCAAGCTCCAAAATGATGGCGACAAGAGCAGAGAAAGGAAAGGAAAGGGCAGCAGCGCCTGTTATTGGAATGTTTATACTGTAATAATGGAAGTTAAGAAGACACATCAGACTCCTTTTCATGTAAGCTTTGTCACAGGGACCCAAGTGGTTCAGAGCAATGAAACAGTGACTCACTGGCCCCGGCCCAGCGGCTTCGGACACTCAGCGGTGGAGTTCACTCTTTAGTCCGATGCTGAAACAGACACTGGGCGCGAAAGGATGAATCACCGGCAAACCCGCTGTGGGGTGGACCTAAGCGTCTTAGTGTGAGGACCCTCACACCAGTGTGGAAACATTCCTGCAAGCTTCCTAAGAACTAGTTGCATTTGACTTTCTCTGCTCAGTCTTGCAAAGGGCCAGCAAAACTATCGGCCTGCAGGGGGCACATGGCTGGTGGGTGACAATCATTAGCAGAATCCCCCTTTGTCCCTTTAGGAGCGCATGCTGGGAGCCAGGTACACAACCATCCTCTTCCCCGTGGTTTCCCTGGCCTCTCCTTGCTACTGGAGGGTTGGAAGGAGGCTTCGTGACTCACTTTTCCTCCCAAAGGGAACTGATTCCAAGATAACTTTACTTCCGGGGGCTGAGGGGATGAAAGCATGAAGAAAGTTCACCTCGGGCCGTCACCCTTCCATGAAGCCTCCTTACCTTCTTCATTTAAAATCCAAGGCAGAAATTCAAACACCGAGTCAAAGCCACAAGTGCCTTCTTCAAAGGCACAGGAGCCGGCGGACAGGTCCAGGGCACTGGCAAGCTGCAAGGCTGCGGGCACAAAGGGACTTTCAGTTTGGGTTTCTGCCTGGCAACCTTACACCAGCCCTGGGGACTACCTGGTAAAAGTTGGGGAGGGGGGGCACGCCGGAAAGAGGGAGAGAAGAATGCATGGCCTTCCTCAGCACTTTCGGGACCCTCCTTCGCGCAGCTCCACGCCCACCCCCATCCCAGGCTTCACCAGGGCACGGAGCTCAGTAGCTGAAAATGATCCAGAAGAGCCGTTGGATGGCTGAGGCAACACCGAAAGCCCCACCCTGACAGCCCGAGTGGAGGCTAGTTGCCAGGACGCCTCAGGGGGTCTCCCGTCGGTTCTTACCTTGTGCTACCAGCAGGACTCCCTCTAACAGCATTGTTGCACTTCAAGCAGGAGGACCCTGCCGGGGGGGGGCTGGCTGGCTCACTAGGACGCGCGGCTCCGAGGGAAGGGAGAGAAGGGAGAGTGCGAGGAAAGGAGCTGGGAATCTGACAGAGATGCCACAGGCTGCTCAACTTCTTAGAGCCAGAGGAGCCGCAAGCCAAGGCGCCTGTGTGCAGAGCGCGCTACGCAGGGCTGCAGCACTTGGCCACTGTAGCCCAGCTGGGCTCGGGACGACCGCAGGGCTGGACAGGGAGGAGACAACTGCACGCTTGGGAAGGGCCAGCCAGCATTGGGGTGGGGGAGAGAAGAGGTCAGCACGCGGTGCCTTGGTCCAGAATTTTAAAGCTGGGGACCAGACCTCTTGCACACACTTGGAAGAGGCTGTCCCTCTGCTGGGCTGTGACCAGAGGCTCCTGCCCCGCCCATCCGCGGTGGGAAACAGCTTATTTCAGGGGACAGTCTTCCCAGCATCTATCTAGCTTGTCAATCTCTCAGGGCTGACCCTAATTTTAAACCACCTTTCCTCAGAATGGAAGGGATTGAAATTCTCTTAGGGCTTTCTAGAGGAAATTTTGGATATCGTGGGGGTGGGATAAGCTTTAATTCTCAGAGTGTTCGGAATTAATGACCCAGTGTCGCTAACCCTGGAATAGCACCCCCTGTTTTTAGCCAGAAGAATGTCTGGCATGCTTGGTTCTCAGCATTCCCTGGTCCAGTGAAAATGGGGGTGGGGGGCATTCCTCTTTTGCAAACAGCCATCCTTGTGGAAGGTCTTGTGGGGAGGGAGGGTGTCACTTCCGTGAGACCTATTTGTTAAAAGGTTGAACCTGAGTGAGTCTTCAACAAAGTTCTCACCCAGGAAATTAGTTTTTCCTGCTTCTTAATCTTCTCTGTAAGTTTGTGCGGGCAGCCCTGTGACTACAGTAGGGTTTGTTTTTAATGCCCCCAAAGAGCTCCACGCTTGAGTCCCCGCTCCAGTACTTCTGGGATGGGACTCCTCACTCTGTACATCTCTAACCAACTTCCAGCTGCGCTTGGCCTGGAGCCACATTCTGAGGGCCACTGGTCTAAAACACTCCTGTTCAGCTGTCAGCTCGGCTCCCCGCCATCAGTTTGACCTCTCGAGCCTGCTTTCTCTACCTTCCACAGCAGCTGTCTCCCGAGGTCTAGATGCCCCCTTTCCCTGACCCTTGACACTAGAGTGACTAAAGCTCTTCCTTTAACACTCCCTGCCCCCTTCCTTTTCTGACCCTTCCCCTCAGTGTTTTACCCGCTCTCTCTCTCTCACATTTAAATATAAGCGTAGGTAGGTTGAGGACTCTGGATACTATCCTAGCAGCCACGGGCTCCGCCTCCTTGTCGCCTGACCGTTTCCACGTGGATGCTTGCGAGTTCTCTAGTACTTACCAGGTCTCAGGAGAAGGGCTCATGATCTCTAACTTCCTCTTCTTCTTAGTTAACAGAGTTATTTTTCCAGCTGCCGAGGACAGAAAACCTTCAGAGCTGAGGGTCTTGTCTGACTGCCACCACAGTGCTATATCTTGCCTGTTCAGGACTGACCCCAGCGCCAGATACGAACCTGCTCCGTGTTCACACGCGGCCCCCATGGAGCGGTGCTGGTGTTTTGATTGTTGTGGGACACCACCTGGGCCTCCTGGGCCTGCTCTTTCCATTGCTTCTGCCTTGCCCACCACATTTCCTTCTACGTAGGGCTGCCAGGGCCTCCCTGCAATACGGAAAGAAAGGCCCTGCTACTCTTGCTCTAGACCCAATGATTTCCCACATCACTTGCCAAAATCCAAAATTTTCACAAGGACCTGTCCAGTCTCACCAAGCCACTTCTTACCTCCTTGTTCCTAAACCCTCAACAACTTGGGTTGCTGCTCTCCTGCCCCGCAGTGCAGCTGTGTCCTGGCAGGACTCTGCACCACCATCCCAGCTATTCAAAATGCTCTTCCCCAGAGATGGCTCGCTGCCCCGATAGGTCTCTGCCGGTGTCACTTTAGCAGGGGAAAACCCAATAATCACCTCTTTAATTTGGAAAAGTGTTCGGGATCCTTTTTTTTTTTTTTTTGAAGTTGAGACATATTTTTATGAATTTTCTCTGAGTTGGGACTCTAAGGATCAGAAACTTATTTGATGGATGCTACTTACTGTGTTTATATACATTCCCTCAGGTCGGAAGGAAGAGTGGACATTTGTTATGTGCACTATTACACATACTTGATAGAAATGATCTCATTTGGTCTCTGTAAGAGGTTGGTGTGGCTGTTATTATGGCTTAGATATGGAATGCTGCTGAAAGACTCTTGCATTAAAAGGTTGTTTTCCAACCTGGTGGTATAGAGATAATGGAAGATTAAAAGTGGCGCCTTCTGAGAGGTCCCCAGGTTGTTGGGGTGTGCTCTTAGAAGGGTGGTGAGATCCCAGCTTGTTCCTCATTCTCTCTTCAAAATCTTGGCCATAAATTCAACAGCTTTGCTTTGACACATGCTCCCTCCCCTGATTTGAGCAGAAACCTCCACCTAAAGCTGTGAGCCTAAAAAAAGCCGTCCTCTTCATAAGCTGGTCACCTCTGGTATTTGTGGTAACATCAGCAAGTTGACTAACACAACGAGCCCCTTTATAATGAATGGGGAAACTGAGGCACAAAGTCCAGTGACAGCAGGTGGAAGCGACAGGAATAGCCCAGGCAGCTCAGGAGCCTCCTTTGCCGTATGTTCCACTTTGGCTTCTTGCTCAGAGGCTCTCTGATGGATGTAAACATTCAGAGACAGACACGAGTCCATCTGAATGTCAAGACACTGTTTTCTGCTTCACCAGCTGCTGTCAATCACAAGCCACTGTCAAATAGGTGCTCCTTTGCTCAAGTACCTATAGAATATTTGAAATATTTAGAATTGCCTTAGATTTGTGTTGTGTGTCCAAAGTTGTAAGGAAGTTTAAAAAGAAAAACCTCCAAAACCCTAGGACGATAGCCAAATAGTTAAAACACAATTTAAAACTTCCAGGCCAAACCACCCATGGGCACTTAAGGAAAATGGGATCATTAGACACTAGCACAAACTCAGTGAAGTAAAATTCCCGCTGAGTGTAGAATCGCATGGCCCCTCAGCCACTGGTGTAGGTCAGCCACCTGATGTGTGGTTCAATGTGCAAGAGGTGGCCTGGGATGGATACCCATGTAAAGAAGGACAAGGCAGCAGGATCGGGCTAAAAGAGAAGTCAAGTTGGAATGCAAACTCCACAAACCCTATTCTAAAGAAACTCAGGTAAAAAGGCCTATCTGATCAACCCCATGAGAGTCTGGAGTGACCAGGCTCTGTTAGTCACTGGAGGTGGCCTTTCTTGGGAAAAGAGTGATCTTGAACAAGAGGGCTCCCAACGCTGAGGCTGACCAGAAGTAGATAGTGGGAAACTGTTTGATGAGAGTATTCCCAGTGGCTGGGATGACAGATCCTTTCGTGGAGGGTGTAAGGAGCACATCAGTGCCCACCACAGACCTGTGTACAGGAAGGAAGAGATATTGCAGAAGGTAGGCAGAGGGTTGAGGAAAGAATCCAGAGAATCTAGGAGTTCTGTGCATCAGCCTTTGCCCTTTGGTCATGACGCATGGAGCCCACACAGCTGAAGTACTGTCTTATTATTCAGAAAAGGAGGATCAGAGTCCGGGGACCCAGAACCCTATCCCTCAAGACTTAGTTTAGGTAAAGGATCAATAACATACATAAAGCTCCAGCTAAAAAAAAATAAAAATAAAAATAAAATAAAAAATAAAAAGCACTCAGATTTAAGAGCTATGGTAGGGTATATATATATATATATATATCCACAAAGAGATATGTACATCTCCTTAAGCCCGTGAATGTGACCTTATTTGGAAAGAGGCTATCTGCTTAAGTAATAAAATTAGGGCTGTTGCGATGAGATCACCCTGGGTTTCCAGATGTGACCTGAGTCAATGGTAAATCAGTGTTGTAGGAGACGGAGGAGAAGTCAGACACGTGCAGCAAATCACATAAAGATGGAAGAGGAACTGGGCTGACACAGCTCTAGGAATGTATGGAGCCTTGAAGCTGGAAGAGGTGAAAAACACGTTCCCCCCTCCTCCTCCAAGAGCCCTGAAGGAGCAAGCTTTGCAGATCTCTTGACTTTGAACTTCTAGCTCTAACACTGCAAAAGTTTTAGTCATTTGTCCCGATGGTGTGTGTGTGTGTGTGTATCTGACATAAACATATTCCAGACACCTAGTATGCCTTTGCTCATTTAATTCATGCAATATCTCTGTGAAGTGGATGTTGTTATTATAATTATTTTACAAATAAAGACAAAGCCAAGAGTGGTCAGTCGACTTGCTCAAGTTCATACTTCTAGACAATAAGCCGGATTGGATCCCAGATGTCTGGCTCTGATGGCTGTGCACCGCAGCACCTTATGAGGCCTGCTTTTTAAAAACCGGTTTCCTACAGCACATGCTGGGGAAATGACTGGCTCTCTGTGTCTGAACACATTGGCTTCTCACTGGGATTGGGCCAAGCCCACTGTTATTATTGAAGAGATGCTCCTTGCAGGAGTTCCTGTCACTGCTTGGTGTCTTCTCCCACAGCGGGAGGAAACTCAGGGAGGTGTTTACCTGGGGGAAGAAGAAAGCAAGTCAGCATTTGCACTTGCAGCACATGCCCCGTGTCGCCCCAGCACGGAAGCTGTCTGAGGCACCCACATTCCTGTCTGTGCGTGGTTTTCCCTTCCTCTCATCCCTGGGCAGTATCATGGGAAGGTGAGTTCAGCAAATGTTTCCTGAGTGCCTGATATGAACCAGGTATCATTCTAGGGGCAAGAAATCCAGGTGAATGAGGCATAGCCTCTGCCTTGGAGATAGGAGCTGGCCAATGAGAAAGTAACTTGAAAAGAATGTGTTGGTGAGGTGGAACAAAGCCGTACAGAATAATCAAGAACTCTCAGTCAAGGTTCTATTACTGTGAAGTGAAACCATGACCACCGCAACTCTTCTAAGGGAAAGTATTTAATGGGGGCTGGCTTACAGTTTCAGAGTTTGGTCCATTATCATCATAGCGGAAAGTGCAGTGACACACAGGCTGACATGCTGCTGGAGATGGAGCTCAGAGTTCTA